TACAGTGTGTGTGTGTGTGTGTGTGTGTGTGTGTGTGTGTGTGTGTGTGACTTCATATTTCAATCACTTACATTAGGCAAAACACCAACAGACACAGGCACACACAGATTTCCAACTTCCTCAGTCTGAACTAATCCCAACAGTCTGTGTAGCTTACCAAATATGAGCAGAAAAAACCCTCAGTATCTTCATAGTCTGACGACATCATCATCATCATCATCATCATCATCATCATCATCATCATCATCATCATCATCACCATCACCATCATCATCACCATCACCATCATCATCATCATCATCATCATCATCATCATTATCATCATCATCAAGTGCTAGATTTGCCACAGACATCGGTGATCATGGCTCGGCCTTCATTTCTCTACTCAAACACTTGTTAAAAAACTTATACTATCCTGGTATTTCCCTATCACCCATCTGTCTAAGCTTTCCAAGTAAGTTGCCCTGGGTCTATTTAGTGGCGTCGGTGGCCTAGTGGTTAGGCTTACGGACTCGCAACCGCAAGGTTGTGGGTTCAAATCCTGTCAGGGACCCGACGTTGTGTCCTTGGGAAAGGCATTTTACACGAGTTTTCCTCACTTCACCAAGGTGGGAATGGGTACCCAGCTATAGACAGTGAAAGATCTTGTCAGTTTGTTAGTGTTTGAGCGCTTAATCAGCTGCTTGCACTGTCTGCTTCCCGGGAAGCTGAGAATGTTTCTGAGTGTTCTATGGTCTGCTGGGGTAATAATATAATGTAAAGCGCATAGAGCTTGCTGTTGAGCGGGGTTATGCGTTATACAAATGCTATTTATTATTATTATTATTATTATTTCTTCCTCATTTGCCCTTAACTTTACCAGTGAGAGAGAGAGAGAGAGAGAGAGAGAGAGACGTTCACGGTGACCTACCTTACTCCAAATGTGAAGACACGGAGGTGTTCATTGCTCTCGCTGGCGAGGCGAAGCACGAAATTGTCGCTGTTGATGTGTCCGTCTGACACGAGGAAGATATTCCGTGGGGCGTCGGAGCGTGGCAGCAACTGATACGCCTGCAGAAGGTTCTGGACGCACGTGCTGCCCATGTTGGCAACAGATTCCTGAAATGTGAACCAAACCAAACATTTTAAAAATTGATTCAGACCTAAAGACTGACACCACTTACTAACTTTACTCTACTTTTTCATCCTCTGTTGCAGTTAAGCGTCCAGGGGAGATGCAGTTTTCTATGGTTGGGCAGCTCTGCAGCTCTTTCAGTTGTGATGTTATGTTTTCTCAGGGTTTCCATGACACTCTCGATCCATCTTTTGCGTGGCCTTCCTCTTCCTTTATAGCCTGAGTGCTTGGTGTTGTAGGCTCTCATGGCTGGCTGGCAAGGTGACATGCGTAACAGGTGGCCAAACCCTTTTATTCTCAGATTTTCTAAGTAATGCAGGCCGTTCTTACTTCTTCATTTCTCTGTCTTGTGACAACATTGATTAAGAAAAATATCTGTATGCCAATTTTGGACCTCAAAGACAAGGATGTCTGTTCTGAAGCTCACATAAATGAGGTTTTTCTGTATGTGTCACAACACTGTGGAATCAAGCGCTCGCCAATTTTGGGGCACGTATGGTTATTGGTCTCATCTTACAGCTTGTTCACTTGTCTATCTTTCGATGAAAAATACCAGTCTATCTTGAATAGAAGTCAAGATATTTGCGATTGAAGGAGGTGGGGTGTCGCCTGGTTTCAGAAGTAAAATTAGCGAGATAATGGCTGCCAAAGTTTGGTGACTTCCATAGCTTGAGAGTCCTTGGAAACTGAAAATTTACATCTTTTGTTCCTTTTGTTCAACTTTTTTAGCAAAATTCATTCAGCAATGTATCTTTAAATAGCTATAAAAGGTGTTGAGCAAAAAAAGCAAAAATCGATAAAAATTGCCACAGAGACGAAAAATTGCTGGTATCTCCGATTTCATTATTTCAACGAGTGCCTGATTTCATCATGATGCCACACACATATGGTCTAACGCTTAGCTGCATCTACTAGATTCATCTATGCCTGCAGAGCCTTTGAACTCTGACACAACACTGGATTGAAAACAAAAGACATATCTCAGGAAAAATACAAAAATTAAAACCTTTATCACATTCAAACTAAGAACTTCTGCACATAGCCAGTTCATCATCCAGTAGTACCTTGACAGCCGGCAAGAAGAAGTTAAGATCATTGCCCCAAAGAGTGAAGCTCCCCTACTCCCCGCTCCCCCCCCCCTAAAAAAAACAAAAAACCAACAAACAAAATCTCAACTCCCCCTTGTATACATTTAAAGCACATTCACCTCACCCTTTGAAAGTGTGGTCACTTTCTAAAATCAAAAACTGACCTGAATGAAAGCAGCAGCCTTCTCCATGTTCTCCGCTGTGTTGGCCAAGGGGCCAGGGAACAACTCTTCATAGTCTGGAACAAAGGGAGAGAAATCATTTCTGATGAATTAAGCCATGAACAAACTTGAAGAGCACAGGGGAAAAACGACAGTAGTTACAAACTGGAAATTGTGAGGGTACCAATTTTAAAAGCTTGAGGACTCAAAACTTCCTATTTGCTTGACTGGTGGTTTATTGTTAAGTGTTGTCGAATGGGAAATCTAACAACAATAAACAACCAACAGCTGAACAGAAATACAGTTACGAGTCAACAAGCGTTCAAAATTGGTACCCTCACGATTTTCAGTTTGTGACTACAGTCGTTTTTCACTTGTAGTTTTCACTTGTATTTTACGGCACTTGCAACACAATTAGGTAATATAAGTACAACATGTCTCCACTATGCCGGGGCCCTTTTTTGGTATTAAATCAAAAAATGACGAAAACGTCACTAAATTGGTCATTAAATCAAAACAAGTGAACCTATTTTAACAGTTCTTCATCTACAGATAAAAGAGACCTGTTTTCGGCAATTGCCAAAACGTAATTTGATGTCGAAGTCATTGTAAAGGATTGGTTACCGGCACAGGGGTTCCGACAGTGAGCCGCTGGGAGCGGCTTGCCGGAGATAAAGAGTTAAAGCATCTAGAGCTACACGAAGAAGAAAATTTCACAGAAGAATTCAATACTCCAGAAAAAAATGTATAAAAAGTAATGCTGACCATTACTTATACAGACTGAACACAACTTTGGCAAATATTCTGATTAGTCACCTGATCCAAATCGAGCCACGTTGAAATGCCAATCTGGCGGCAGCTCTGCCAGCGCCAGTAGCGCCACCTTTTTGGCGTCCGTCAGTGGCTTCCCCTTCATGGAGTTGGATGTGTCGAGAACCAGCAGCAGCTCTCCGTCCGTCAGCTCCGAGGTCTCAAACTCCGGGTAGAAAGTCAACATGCACGCCTGTGGACAACAAGACTTTTTTGTTTTCTTTTGAGCATTGATTGTTGGAGTGGTGAGACGTACATTTGACATAAGTAATGATCACTTTTGTGCTCTGAGAGAGAGAGAGGGGGAAAGAGAGAGAGAGAGAGAGAGAGAGGGGGGGGTGAGAGAGAGAGAGATAGAAAGAGAGAGAGAGATAGAAAGAGAGAGTGAGAGAGAGAGAGAGAAAGATAGAAAAGGACGGAGACAGAAGAGAGAGATAGGGGAGGGACAGAGACAGAGAGAGAGATAGGGGAGGGACAGAGACAGAGAGAGAGTAAGAGAGAGAGAGAGAGAGAGAGAGAGAGAGAGAGAGAGAGAGACAGAGAGACAGAGAGACAGAGAGACAGAGAGAGAGACAGAGAGAGACAGAGAGAGACAGAGAGACAGAGAGACAGAGACAGAGAGAGAGAGAGAGAGAGAGAGAGAGAGAGGGAGGGGGTGAGAGAGAGAGATATAGAGAGAGAGACAGAGAGAGAGAGACAGAGAGAGAGAGAGAGAGAGAGAGAGAGAGAGAGAGAGAGAGAGAGAGAGTAGAAAACTAGGATTCACTAGTGCATCCTCTAAAAACTACTTACATTTTTTGGTGATTGATTCTAAGGTTCAACTGGACACAAACAAGCCATTTCCAAAGTCTTCTCAACATTGTGGGCTTTTTTGCGGGTCTATGTTTTCCTAAACTAGACAATGTTTGAGTGTATATGGGTGGGGGTGTATACATATGTGTGTATGTGAATGTGTGCATACTTAGGTGTGTTTGTGTGTGTACATGTGAGTGTGTTAGTAGAATGTTTTCATGCATGCGTGTGTGAGCATGTGTACGGGTGTATCGGTGTGTGAGAGTTTATTTTGACTGCTAGTATGGTGGAGTTATACACTACACACCAAGCAGTCAATATATTTTTATGAGTGTTTGCCTGCATGTTCCAACAACAACAACAAAATCCTCGTGCCAAACACAAATCAAAAGAATCATCAAATGTCTCAAATAATGTCCTGAACCAGGCAATCAAATGAGGTAGTGCTTGATGAAGCCCATATGGGACGCTCACTGTTAAAAACAATCAGGAAATGACAAATGCAGTTTTTGGGACACCTGAACAGACATAAAGGTCCGGAACATCTGGCTCTCACTAGCAAAACTGAAGGCAAATGAGGCAGGGGTATGAGAGCAACCTGCTTAGGCAGCCTAAACAAAAGGGTAGCGGGGAAAGATCAGGGAAACGTGCTTTTTTAAAGACCATCCGAGCAAAGGAATGAATGGAGAACCCTGATCGCCTATGTCTGTCACAGATTTGGCACTGGATGATGATGATGATGAACCAGGCCAGTGGTTAAAAAGGATGGTGCACTACTCACCAGGTTCTGTTCATCATTAGGCAGCCGCTCCACCCACATCCGAGGCACATGGATCTCCGCTAGACCAATGAGCAGCTGGAAACCTGAGCCAAAGGCCTGACCTTGAACTACTTCCAGGTACGCCTTGGACGCTGTTTGCTGCAGACAGTTTTAGTTTAGTTTTAGTAAGAGTTTTACGGAGCTTGCAACACAATAAGGTTATATAAGTGCCGAAGATTAGAGGTGTTACAAGAGAGTTTAGTTTAGTTTTAGTACGAGTTTAACAGAACTTGCAGCACAATAAGGTCATAGAAGTGCCGAAGATTAGAGGTATCACAAGACAGTGACAAACACAAAAAAGAAGGAGGAGAGATACAGGCGAAATATGTTTAATAGGTTAGAAGGGGCAAAGCACATCTAAGCACCCCCTAAACACCCGCTTGCTGCAGACAGACAGGATGGACTCCCTCAAAAAAGATAAGAGATAACATATAGGCAATTCCTGAGAGGTGGTAAAGAACTTGTGGGGTTGGGTTGGGTGGGGGGAGCGGGTAGGCAGGAGGGGGAGTTGAATCCAAACGAGTCTACCCTTTCCAACCAAGACAACATTCATTTAGTTAGTTTTAGTAGAGGTTTTAAGACGCTTGCAACTGCATAAGGTCATATGAGTGCCAGAAGATTAGAGGTGTTACAAGAGAGTAACAAACATAAAAAATAAGAAGGGGAGATAAGGACGATAGATGTTTGATAGAAAAGAAAAAGCAAACCACACCACAGCACCTGCCAACCACCCACCACCATTCTTCATCGAGGAGAAAAGTGGTCATCTTGTTCAGGGGGTCCTCTTGAGCAGAGGCATTGTAAAAATAATGATAATGTAGATCATTTCTATAGCGCCCACTCCCGTGTGAACGCAGCTCTAGGCGTTTTACATAAATGCATGTAAGAACACCTAACAACTATACACAGATATTAATAAGAAATTTAGTACACTATGCGACATTTTGTATACATTGGCTGCCTCTCATCCATACAACCACTCTTGTTCTCTTTATTGTTCTACTTATTCTACTTTTCTTCCATCTTACCTTTATTTTGACTTTGTGAGTCGGGCAGTCCAGGGTTCGGATGTCAAAGGGCATCTCTACGGCAACCTGCACGCTTGTCTTAGACGCTGAGGACACCTTCTCGCTCTGTAGGTCATTCTGTGGGGAGACAACTGGAGGTTAGGAATCCTAAAAGAGTAGGCAGTTAGGCCATCACCCGCGCAAAATTAAAAAAACTTCCTACCATACTAAATATCCCTATTACACCTGTAAATAGTAAGACACACCCTTACACCTTCCATGGTAAGACACACTCTTTGACCTTCTGTGATCTGAATTTATTGACTACGCCTCTCCTTTGGAAAATATCATGTGATGGGAGAAGAGTAGAGCTAGGGCAATCTATTTCCTCTACATCTACCGTCCAGGCAAAGCTGTTGCTATCGTCTGTCAAGACGCAAAAGGCCATAGACACAAAAGAAGTACAGGAAAATGATGACAGTAAGGATGAGGAAAGAAAAAGCAGCAGTTCCCCCAATGTTGTTCCGACACAGTATGAGCATGGCAAAGTTGGCAATGGCCTAAAGACAACTTCGGTCAGTAACACTGCCTTGGTGGGGGGACTAGAGAAGTTTACGAGTGGCCACATAAAGGAGAGAACACATTAGAACAAACATAGAGACGCTTGGTGGGGAATCATGATGTTAAAATGTGTATCACTGGTCTAATAGACCACTTTTCCTTCAATAAACTGCATCAAAGCTATTGTTTTATTAGGTAAATGATTCTATTACCTAAAAAGTTCTGTTGTTCTAGTTTCTATACCAAAAAAATCATTTTGTTCTGTCTCTAAAAGTAATGTTTTTATGGGCCCCTAAAAAAGGCTAAAATTCATGCCTCACCAGCGAATGCAGCTGTCTCTATACTGCGTCTGCAAAGAGTTAACAAAGACATCATCAGGAAGCAAAAGATTTGGTCGCTTTAAAGGACAAGCAGGCAAACCCAGATTTTGGGGGTTTCCGGAAATCTTAAGTTACTCCAAAAGAGGGCATTTCCCTACCTTTTGGAGAAGTTTGTTTCATTGGTGAATATATTTGTTTGGATATAGAGAAAACTCTCCTTGTCTTTTAAAGAAACTGAACAAGGGTCCAAAAACTTTCCCTTCCATTTTCTCCAAACAGCATTTTTCGAGGTAGCCCCCTTGTGCTTAAAAGCGACGATTTTCTCTAGAATCTTCACCTGCGTGTTCTGTTTGAAGGCAGCGTCCTCCCTCCAGGGGGCGACACTGGCGGGCATTTTGAAGTCGATGAGCTCCTGGTCCACCTGTAGCTCCGCCACGTACGTGATCTTGATCAACACGCACGCCCCCGCAGGGAGGTTACCCACGCTCACCGTGAACACATCCTGGGAACAACACATGTGGGAAATGGTTTACAACTGTAATAAATGAATGCTGTTATGAAATGTAAAAATGGGCATGAACTATGTTGCGAATGTTGCAACACACATGAGAAATGGTTTACAACTGGGAACACACATGAGAAATGGTTTACAACTGGGAACACACATGAGAAATGGTTTACAACTAGGAACACGCATGAGAAATGGTTTACAACTGGGAACACACATGAGAAATGGTTTACAACTGGGAACACACATGAGAAATGGTTTACAACTGGGAACACACATGAGAAATGGTTTACAACTGGGATCATCACTGAAGAGGAATATATCCAACCAGCTAATAACTGGCACGATCAACAGACAGACCCTTTCATGGATCCTGGAGAGGAGGGAGGAGCAGCTATGGCATTGAGCCACCTGCAATGATTCTTTTGGTTTTCTTTTTTTCAGTTTTAGTAAGAGTTTTATGACACTTGCAACACAATAAGGTCATATAAGTGCCGAAGAATAGATGTGGTACAAGAGAGTAACATACACAAAAAGGAGGAGGAGAGATAAGGACGATAGATGTTTGATAGGAAAGAAGGAGCAAACCACACAAGAGCACCTGCCAGCCATCAACCCTTATTTTGTAACCCTAACAATAATAATAATAATAATAATAATAATAATAATAATAATAATAATAATAATAATAATAACAATAATGATAATAATGATAATAATAATAATGATAATAATAATAATATATATCATTTGTATCGCACAAATTCCCATTCAACAGCAAGCTCTATGCGCTTAACACTATATTATTACCCCAGCAAAAACTGATAGCACTCTGAAACAATCTCAACTTCCTGAAAAGCATACAGTGGAAGCAGTCATTTTACAGGTGCCAAACGCTAACGAAATGACAAGATTTTTCGTTGTGCACCTTTCTTATTTTGAAAAGTACTAAAAACAACCCCCAAAAAAACGCGAAAGGAGATTGGGTTTTTTGTTATTTACAAAAGTGTTCATTTTGCCATTTCTTCCACAAAATAAGTACACATCTTTGGGCTGTGTGAATGTGTATGATGACAGTGAGTGTGCATATGTGTGCATGTGCATGTGAGTGTACAAATGCATGTGTGAGTGTGTGTGCATGTGTGTGTGTGTGTGAGTGTGAGAGTGAATCTGTGAGTGTGTGTGTTTGTCTGTGTGAGTGTGTGTCTGTGTGCATTTGTGAGTGTCTGTGTGTGTGTGTGTGTGAGTGTGTGTGTGTATGTGTGTGTGTGGGTTTGGATGCGTGTATTTGCGCAAATGTGTGTGTGTGCGCTTGCGTGTGTGCATGTATGTGTCTATGTGCGTGCATGCGTGGGTGGGTGCATGCAAGCATGTGTGCTTCTTTTTTGGGGGGAGGGGGAGGGGTGGTGGTGGCACCACAATACTCACAGGGGTCTCTTCCTGGTCCATGAGATACGCTCCGTGACCTTGACTGATGGCCTCGCGGTACTCCCGGTGCGCCTTCTCCTTCTCTTTGACCTCTCCCACGATGTGCTTGCCGTTGATGAAAGCCTCGAACCCGCAGACAACCGCGGCATCGTCTAGAGGGAAGACGTACTTGGCCTCGATGGCTTTGGAGCTGTTGTTGACGTACTCCTGGAGCACGACCACCTGGACAGGACGACACAATATGATACACGCTTAATGAAGAGTTTTACAGCACTTACAACATTATTAGGTCATCGAAAGAGTTTTACAGCACTTGAAACATAATTAAGTCATCGGAATAATATTTTACAATGCTTGAGTAAGAGTTTTACAGCACTTGCAACATTATTAGGTCATCAGAACAATATGTTACATGTTTAAGTAAAAGTTTTACAGCACTTGCAACATAATTAGGACATTAGAATGTGTCGCACTTTTAAGTAAAAGTTTTACAGCACTTGCAACATAATTAGGACATTATAATGTATCGCACGTTTAAGTAAGAGTTTTACAGTACTTGCAACATAAATAGGTCATCAGAATATGTTACACACTAAACCCTATTCATACGTTGTGTTTTACTATTTACTATCGTATTCATACAACGTCGGGAACTCTGTGCCACCACTGTCCAAAGAGGAAATTTACTCATTAATCCGATCTGTACGCTTTGCATAGCAGTCTGTCAAAATGATTTTTTGAGAAATACTGAAAGTTTCAAAGAGATCTTCACAATAGGAATATTCTAAATTGTGAAAAATACAACCCCAAGGGTACAAAAGCACCCCAGGCGTATGGACAGGGTTAAACCCTTTAATAAATGTTTTTCAGGTAATTCCACACAAAAATGTGTTTTTAAATTGACATAAAAGGTGTTGAGCCAAAAAAAGAAAATTAAGAAAAAATGGCCTAGTGCCCCCCCCCCCCCCAAAAAAGCAGATTTCTTTGACTTCACTATTTTGATGAGCTCCTGCCTTCACCAGGATGCCTCACATATAGATGTTTGCTCGGAAAGAAGAAGCGAATCACACCAGAGGACCCATCAATCTCCCATGAATGTGTTAAAGTTTCTTTGTATTTTTAAATATTTAAAAATGCTGAGGCCGAGAGATAAGCGAAGCCTACGAGCTGGGCCCATCCACAAGAGGAAATAAAATTTTTACATGCTCAAAATGTGGCCAAGTCCTCTCTGTCAGAATTGGTCTCATTGGCCACAGCAGAAGCCACATATTATCTTAAACATTTTTTCTTTAATTTTTGTTAACACTTTGCGGTCACTCGGCGCTAAAATGCGAAGGTGAAAATTATCCGTTCCGTCACCGAGAAGTCCGTTACAGTCGCTCTCCTGGCTGTGTGACTGCAAAGTGTTAAAGAAATATTTTCCTCTACTGATTTATGGTCATCGGAGAAAAAAGAAAAACACAACTATTTTCCTAACCAGGCAGTTTGTGTCATCTAAAGTTTATTGAAGAACCACTCACCTGGGCAGCTAAGTCGAGCAGTTTTGCTCGTATGTGAACTCCGCGAAGCTCTACATCCGCGTCTCCTGACCCCTGAAGTCCAGCTTTGACCTTGGCAAGAGGGTTTGCAATGTCTGTGACATCACTCATGCCTGAGACAGAGAAGATTTTTGGTAATAACCCGCTGTTATATAACTACTTGAAACAAGATTTGGTAAAACATATAAGTGGGTTTGTCCAAAATTAGAACAAATAAATATGAAGCGTGCTGACAAAATGAGTTACTTCTCAGATTTGAACTCTATGGATAATATACGCTTATAGGTGAAATTTTTAGATCTACAATTTGTACGTGTGTGAAATAATAAAAGACAGGTTAGAGTTAAAGAATAATAATAAGGCATCAATAGAAAATCTACACATTTGACCCCAGTGTCGATTCTTGGCCAATACTCCATAATTTATGGATTGCGATAAGTAACTCATTTTGTCAGCACACCTCACAAATAATAAACCTTCCTCAGCTGTAAAAAAAGAGTACAGTAGAACTCCTAGAAGAAAAAAGAGACTAGCAATTGCAGTTTTAGTAGTCAAAGACAGATTTACCAGCATCGGTGGTCACAAGATTCTCCACAATGCATTCATTCTTTTATTGAATTCACCTCCACAAAACAATAATTCTTTCAATGGATTCATCTTTATAACACATTAATTCTTACAGTGGATTCATCCCACAACACATTAATTCTTTCAGTGGATTCATCTCCACAAGACATTAATTCCTTCAGTGGATTCATCCCACAACACATTAATTCTTTCAGTGGATTCATCTCCACAAGACATTAATTCCTTCAGTGGATTCATCCCACAACACATCAATTCTTTTATCGCATTCATCTCCACAACACATTAACTCTTTATCTCCCAGGGGGGGTAAACCCACTAACTACGCCAAGCAGCTGCCAGTGGCTCACCGGTACAGCAGTTTCGAGCGAGAGCCGCTAGGAGCAGCTTGGCGCAGACAAAGACTTAATTCTTTCAGTGGATTCACCTCCACAACATATCAATCCTTTTATCGCATTCCTCTCCACAACACTTACTGATTGTCCCTGTGTCTGTATCCTGCATCAGCGTCGGCTCTGTGGGTACCATGATGATGGGGCAGACAGAGTCTTCAGGGAGCGTGAACTCCACGAGGTAGCGTAGACGTTGTTGAGCGACATTGTACACCACATACTCATCATCCTGGGGAGGGGGGGGGGGGGGGCAGAATCACATTTGTGAGTGAGGCGTGCTGACAAAATGAGTTACTTCTCAGTTTCAGTAAACGTTTTACGGCACTTGCAACACAATAAGGTCATATAAGTGCTGAAGATTAGAGGTGTTACAAGAGAGTAACAAACACAAAAAATAAGCTGGGGAGATAAAGACGATAGACATTAGATAGGAAAGTTACTTTTCACTATCCAAGAATTGAGATATCGGCGGAAAATCGACACTGGGGTCACATTTAAAGATTTTCAAAGGATGCCATTTTTTTCAAGTCTGCCATGTCTTTTGTTTTTTCCATACTTACACATTGTACAAACTCCACCTTTAAAGTTGATTTATCAATTTCCATAAAAGGCTAAAAGTCCGAGAAGTAACTCATTTTGTCAGCACTACTCACATAAGGTAAGGGGAACAATCTACAATGTTGGCCTTTATTGTAAAATATCCATGAAAAATTGTGGATTTTTTTTTCTTTTTTGAAGAACTATGGTACCCTTGAAATGACATTTGGTCTCCAGGGAAGAAAAAGATCCAACACTGTCATAGATTAGTTGGTCAAATACTTAAGCATCAGCTGTACAGGCTCTGAAAAACCAACAGACTGACCATTAGACTACCGATACCATCGCAACTGCATTGCAAGTTTATTTGGTATCTATAAAATTCAATGACAAGCACATCTAGTCGGGGTAGGCAGTTTAATACTTAACCACTGGCACATTCTCTGTTCACATGTACTGCTCGGAAGAGATCAGCAGATGGACTTTGAGGTGGATATTGGAGCGGGGAGCGGAGCACGTATGGAAATGCCCAGATTGCTAGGATTTTGTTCACAGGATCAAGTAATCAAGCTTGGAAGAGACACTGACCACATGGTCTCGTGCTTACATACTGCTCACAACACTGACAAGGGTAATCACTACGAAAGGACTGAGACAACTCATGACAGTTACGGGTGGTCACTAAGAATAATGGACGAGGACAACTGGACACTGACTTATTGGGTTACATCCCTTAAACATGTTGGACAGTGACAACACTACAGAATCCTGCAACCCAAGGTGGAGAATAAAGAGGAAGGAAGGCGATGACATAACCACCACATAACAAAACAAAGAAGGAAATAGATGTTACCTCAAAGGCAGAGGAACTGTCCTTGACCTTGCTGACCCCATGAGTGCTGTCGTAACCCTCGGGTGGCCCCGTCAGAGTCGTGTCGTGACTGGTATAGTCCTTGACCCTGCCCAAGGCCACTTCGCTGACCAGCAGGAGGCGAGAGCCTTTGGTCTTGCTCGCCATAGAATACTTCATGCTTGTACTGAGAAAAGAAGGAAACAATCATACTGTAAATGGTTGGTTGGTGGGCACTATGGTTTAGTCTGTTCCTTCTTACCTATCGAACATCTACCGTCCTTACCTCTCGTCCTTTCTTTTCTTTGTATGTTAGTCTCGAGTTACACTTCTAATTCTTGGCACTTAAATAACCTATTTGTGTAGCAAGTGCCGTAAAAGTCTTACAAAAATTAAACAAACAGTAATAAAAATGACCTGTGAGTTAGAGCTGGATCCTGCTCACCAAATCTGAGAGTGGCGATTCACGATTCAGTCGGCTTCAATGAATCGCGAGTACGCGAGCGCTCGTGGAACAGTAAGTCTCGGGCTCGTTGTATGGGTGAGACGGAACAGTGTCATATCAACGCCATTTCGCGAGTCCCACTCTTGTTGTCCTGCCATCCTCTCCCCCCCCCCCCCCTTCGTTGCGCTGCTATACTGACCTCAATTAGCGACCCCCATAAATTCACCCCCCCCCCCCACCCCCATGACTCGCTAAAACAATGGCTCCATAAAATTCTTTCTTTCTATTGGTTGGAACCCGTTCCTTTTGTTGTAATAGGGGGGTTGGACTATGCCATCTTTTGTGAAATAAGGGGAGCCATACTAAGTATTCCGTTTCCTTCTTGCGCTCGTGACTCGACTCGCGACCCAGCAGTAGGTGAAACAAGCCACAAGGTGGTGAGACAGCAACAGGGGAGTGAATCGGGAATCGGAGGGCGATACTGTTCCGTGTTCCACTGAAGTGAATCGTGAATTGCGTTCCGCAGGGAAGAGTGGCGATTCAGTTCCGTTCTCGCGCTCGCGACCCAGCTCTACAGTGAGTTACATACACCCACAGAGCAGGTGCATATTGCATTTTATTCTTTTGCATTATGTGGATGAAAAAATGTTGTGGTTGTGGTATTTTTGCTGCAGTCTTTACTGTTGCTGACACTGTTTGTTGTTGCTCTCCACGATTTTGTTGCTGTTGTTGTTTTTGGTGTTATTGTAACAACTGCTGTTGGAGGTCAATACTGCTGTTTTTCTATTGTTGTTGTTGCTGTTGTTGTTTTTTTGTTATTATTGTAACAACTGCTGTTGGAGGTCAACACTGCTGTTTTTCTATTGTTGTTGTTGCTGTTGTTTTTTTCTTTATTGTATCTGTAACTGCTGACAATTTTCGTTGTTTTTGTTGTTATTTTTGCAGTTGTTGTAGCAGACGATACTGCTGATGTCTCATTGCTGACATTGTTGATGTCACAATTGATATTACAGTCGTTGTTGTTGCTGACACTGTTGATATTTCAATTGATATTACAGTTGTTGTTGTTGTTGTTGCAGATGGTGAAAAACAGGGAAAACACAATTTCCTTACTGCAAAATTTATATCAGGTAGTCGAAGAGTTAACGCTCAGATGCTACTGGATCGCTAACAACAACAACATATCAGGTAGTAGTGATTTGGTAAGGCCAAAAACTAACTCTCAACGCTCGGTATTTTTATATAACTTGCAAGACACCAAATCATCTGTAAAACTGTGTGAGTGTAAGGAAGAAACAGGGGATTTCAAAGGTAGGTACCCACACCGTAGGGTTACAGGAATCTATCCTCTATTGATGTAGACATTTTGGTTCTTCCTCGTAGAAAGTTACCCTTCCAAGGAAGAGATCACACAAACACACGCACACAAACACACGCACATAAACACACGCACATACCTGGCAGCGCTGGCAAAGTAGATGCCACTTCCCAGCATGCCTGCGTCTGTTCGAGTTCCTCCGTAGTCGTCAACCACGACCTTGGGCAGGAGAAGGCCTCTGGGGGGAGAAAAATAGAAAGATTTTGTAATGAATTTTGTTTTGAAATGTAAAAAAGGGAATGAACTATGTTGCGAATGTTGCAATAACGATTCTTTGACATCACAATTATTTCCCCTATTTGACATATATTTGTCAGTGGATGATGATGATGATGATGATGATGATGATGATGATGATGATGATGATGATGATGATGATGATGATGATGATGATGATGATGATGATTTGACATGTCTCATTTTGAATACGACATATCATTTGTAAAAGAAAACAATAAACCAGTTCTCCGGCAGGTAGGCAATGTAGGCCTAACAGGTTGTGTTTGATCTTCTTTACAAGTTTCAATCCTTTTATAATGTGCTGCAATATGCAGCCGTCACAGATTTCATAGAACTGTAAAGTGCCCAGAACTTATGCTCCTATTGGACAGAGCGCTACATTTGAGGCATCAAGGTGAAATCAGGCACTCGTCAAAAAAATGAAATTGAAGAGACCGGCATATTACCATTATTAACTGTTGGAAATGGATAAGGAACC